GAGTGGGAGTGCGTGGGTGACGTCTCCAAGAACGGGAACGGGAACGCACACCCTCCTCCGCTGCCTCAATTCTGCCTACCCCTTTAGGCCACCTCAACCACATCCAGCTCTGCGCCGCGTCTCCCTCCGCGTCTATCAAACATCCAGCCCGGCCGCCTCTCCCTGCGATCCCTACTTAACCCCCAGCGCCGCCCGCCTCCACCTGACCACTTCTACTTCTTCCCTCCCTCACCTCACCAACACCTTGACGGCTGCGAAGAACTCATCCCCTTCATTACCAGCAACTGTCATCATGTCTGCCACCACCACTGCCACCATGACCGCCAACCCGCCTCAGTCTCGCAAGAGCCACAGCCATCACCACCATCACCACCACGGCCACGACAATGTCTACCTGACCTCGGCCAACAAGAACGACGCCGGCGTGCGCATCACTCGCATCGGTCTCTACTCCAACCTCGGCATGGCCTTTGCCAAAGGCGCCGGTGGCTACGCATTCGGCTCCCAAGCCATGATTGCTGATGCCTGGCACAGTCTGACGGACCTGGCATCCGACGTCCTGACACTGGCCACTGTTTCGTGGAGCTTGAAACCCCCGACCGAAGCCTTCCCCACTGGTTTCGGCAAGATTGAGAGTCTGGGCTCTCTGGGTGTCTCCAGCATGCTTCTAGGCGGTGGCCTGTTCATGTGCTGGAGCAGCTTGATCACCCTCCACGCTCACCTCTTCCTCGACCCTGCTTCTGCAGCAGAGGCCATTGCCCACGCTCATCACGGCCACAGCCATGGTCATGGTCACGCTACACCGAGTTTGCACGCTGCTTGGTTGGCTCTCGGAACAATCGCAATCAAGGAATGGCTGTACAGAGCTAGTAAGCGCAATCCCCCCTAATCCTTTCAGGCCCGAGTAGCTGCAAGGAACAAAGCTGACAAGGAGAAAAACAGCCATGAAAGTTGCCGTCGAACGAAAGTCTTCTGTCCTCGCCTCCAATGCCGTTCACCACCGTGTCGACAGCTGGACCGGCATTGTCACACTGCTTGCTATTCTGGGTGCAAACTTTTTCAAGGATGCGACCTGGCTGGATCCCGTTGGTGGCCTGATGATTTCTCTCCTCGTCATCAAGGCTGGTGCTGAGAACACTCTGTCTTCCGTGTACGAATTGGCCGACCGCGCTATTGATGACGAAGTCAAGGGAGATGTCCAAAAATACGCCCTCCGAAGCCTCTCTGATGTCACCAATGGCCACGAAGTCGATGTTCGCAACGTCTCGGGTGTCAAGTCCGGTCAGAACTACCTGGTGGATATCGACTTGGCTGTGCCCGGAGCTTGGTCTGTTGAGGCTGTCCGAGAAGTGGAGGATCAGGTCCGAACTCTGGTCGGTGCCAAGGTCCGTGGTGTGCGAAGGATCAAGGTGCGCTTCGTTCCGAAGGAGGCCGAGGTTGCGCGCCCGTTCGACGAGTTCATCCCCGGAGAAGCCAACCGAGAGGCTAGCGAGGAGGCCGACGACCACAGCCACACCAACGGCAATGGTCACAAGCACGACTAAGGCAGCCCAGTCCTATGTACAGTTGGAGGAGGAGCTTGCCATTCACGACGAGATACCCTTGGTTTTCCTTACCATTTCTGGAAGCGTGGTCAACCCACCGTCTTTTGTCTTTTTTTTTTTTTTTTTTTTTTTGCCGGTCTACAGGGGGGTATTGCTACGTATAGAGAACATTCTTGGAGAGAGTCCTCCAAGGCATCCATTTGCATCAGGGCGGCGTTTAGGGAGGAATCACAAAAGGCCAGCCACAGGCCGGTCGTACCGAGAGACTTGTTTTTATATATCTCTCATCTGCTCAATAACAACAGATTTGCTTTGTATTGAACCATGTCTACTTTCGTATCAAGGTGTTTATGAGATCACTCGTCGTTAAAAATGCCCGTCTATCCTGACCAATCTCGCAAGTGCGTTCTACGCAGCGGGACCCTTAGACGCGGCAGTATGCAGGGCGGCAGGGCGCATAGAGCACGGGACGAGCTATTCCCGACCCCCGAGTCGAGGGGACAAGGCTGCATTGGCTTCCGCCAAGACGTCACACGATCATTGGCGCGCCTATTCGTCGCATCAGTCTCGAACTATACGATTGGCCCGCTCGCCTTTAGCCTGAATTGCCACAAGGCTGAGGGAACCATGCAACCTGTCCCAAGTGCCCCAAAGTGACAAGTGTGCCCCTCCATGCCCACACACCCCACGTCAACGTGATGTACAAAGTAGTGGGCAGCGGTCAACTTTTGGTCCCAGATAACCGGATATCCTGTGTGTTTCAATTTTCTCCTTTTCCATATGACGATTGAACCAGTTCTTTGCTTGTTTGGACAAATTTGAGATAGACACGATACTTAATTGACTTGCCCCCCCTCTTCCTGCGAGTGTTGTGCAATATCTCTCATCTCACTCCCTCCTCCCATCATGAGTTCCGGTCCCTTGTATCTCGGGTTCGACCTGTCGACCCAACAGCTCAAAGGTTAGCCAGCCCATCTACGTTCCATCCCGCTCGAGTCTATAAGATCTAACACCATCACAGCAATCGTCGTCCAGTCCGACCTGACCGTCGTCTCCGAGGCCAAGGTCGACTTTGACGCCGACTTTGGCAAGCAGTATGGCCTGCGCAAGGGCGTCCTGACCAACGAGGCCGAGGGCGAGGTCTACGCGCCCGTCGCCATGTTCCTCGAGGCCATCGACCTCGTCCTCAGTCGCCTGTCCGCAAAGACGCCCATGGACCGCATCAAGGGCATCAGCGGCTCGTGCCAGCAGCACGGCAGCACCTACTGGGGCAAAGAGGCCGAGGCGCTTCTGAGCGGGTTGCGACCCGACAAGCCGCTCGTCGAGCAGTTGAAGGGGGCGTTCTCGTTCCCCTACGCGCCGAATTGGCAGGATCACAGCACGCAAGCGCAGTGCGATGAGTTTGATGCCAATTTTGGGGCGGCGCAGCGGTTGGCGGAGGTTACTGGCAGCGCTGCACACCACGTATGTCCCCCCTCCCTCTGTTCTCCAGCTTTATCTTGTAATCGGATGTCGTATGAGTGATTTTTACTGAGACGAAATATCATGGTAGCGCTTCACCGGTACGCAAATCATGCGCCTCCGCCAGAAGCGCCCCGAAATGTACGCCGCCACATCCCGCATCTCCCTCGTCTCCTCCTTCCTCGCCTCCGTCCTCCTCGGGTCCGTCGCCCCCATCGACATCAGCGACGTCTGCGGCATGAACCTCTGGGATATTCCCGCGGGGAACTGGAGCGAGCCCCTGCTGGAACTCACCGCCGGCTCCAAATCCGGCGTGAGCGACCTCCGCGCCAAGCTCGGCGAGCCGCGCCACGACGGCGGCGGGTCCATGGGCACTATCTCAGGGTACTTTGTCCGGCGGTACGGCTTCAGTGCGGAGTGCCAGGTTGCCCCCTTTACGGGCGATAACCCAGCTACGATTCTTGCGCTGCCGCTGAGGCCGATGGATGCTATTGTGTCGCTGGGCACGTCGTCTACGTTTTTGATGGTCACGCCTGTGTATAAGCCCGATGCGGCGTATCACTTTTTTAACCACCCGTGTACTCCTGGGCAGTACATGTTTATGCTGTGCTACAAGAACGGCGGGCTGGCGCGCGAAAGCGTGCGGGACGCCCTTCCCAAGCCTGAGGGTGGTGACCCGTGGGCCAACTTCAACAAGGCTGTACTTGACACGCCGCCGCTGGATGCGCGGTCCGAGAAAGACAACGCAAAGCTGGGGTTGTACTTTGATCTCCCCGAGATCGTGCCGAACATCAAGGCCGGCACGTGGCGGTACACCGCCAAGCAGGACGGAAGCGCCCTGACCGAGGCCTCGGAGCCGTGGTCCAAGGAGACGGACGCGCGCATCATTGTCGAGTCGCAGGCCCTCTCGATGCGTCTGCGCAGCCAGAACCTCGTGCACAGCCCCGAGTCCGACCCCAAGGTACCCGCGCAGCCGCGACGGGTTTACCTCGTCGGCGGCGGGTCTCTGAACCCGGCCATCGCGCGGGTCATGGGCGACGTGTTGGGCGGTGCGGAGGGGGTGTACAAGCTCGATGTGGGTGGCAACGCGTGCGCTCTGGGCGGTGCGTATAAGGCTGTTTGGGCGCTTGAGCGGTGCGAGGGGGAGACGTTTGACGAGTTGATTGGGAAGCGGTGGAGGGAGGAGGGGGCGATTCAGAAGGTTGATGGGGGGTATAAGGAGGGTGTGTTTGAGGGGTATCAGCCTGTTGTTGGGGCTTTTGAGGAGATGGAGAAGAGGATATTGAAGGTTGCTCACAACTGAGGGTGTCTAGGTTACGGTGTGAGTTGATGGGGAATGGGTGATGAGAGGGTTTAGATTGACAGATTATGAGAATGAATGAATGTGTTCCTACTACTGGCGTGTTCTATCATAGTGAATCCCTGACACTGGGTTAAAAGACGGGGACGGTGTAAGACTTGCTGCGAGAAACTTGACATGCTTCGGTTGACCTAGGCATCAAGTCGCCGTTCACATAACATCACATCACAAAACATCACCGAGGACAAGTCATCAACTGTACAATAATGCGTTTGTCCTGGTATTATTTAGGCACTGGTCCATGCAAACCAGGTCCCCTTCCTCCCCTCCAACCTCAGATCCCTCTCCAAACTCTCAAAACTATTCCTGTTACCCCAGAAAGTTTGTCCTAGCCTAGCGGGTTCCAAATATTGAAATGAAGAAAAAGAAAAGACTCTGTGCAGTTTCCTCCCCGTGCCGAAAGTACCAAATCCATGATCCGCATGAGAAGAATCGTTCCTTCGTTATCGTTCGTTCGTTCGTGATGAGAAGGGGTATCATCCATCCATGAGAAGTAGAAAGAAAAGCATCAAAAAACAGGGGGGTTGTTCCATCTTTGCTAGTTCTCCAACCAAAGGGAGGGAGAACAGAAAGTGCAAAGGGAAAACCAAAGAATGAAATACACACAAAAGAATGGAGAAGTAAGAGTTTGCTTCTTAGAACAGAACCATCAGGCCCAGCACGAAGATGGCGAGCCAGGTGGTGCAGCCCTTGCAGCCGCCCATGATACCCTCGGCATGCTTGTTCGCGACGCCAGAGACGACGACCACAGTGCTCGTGCTCTTGGGCTGCTCGGTGGCAGTCGAGGAGGACAGAGTGGGGTAGTGGTAGGTCGTGGGGACGTGGCGGGTAGACGAAGTCATGGCGGTGCCGTTGACGAAGGGGGGAAGGGTGCTGGGGGCGGTGGGGTGCATCATGGGAGTGCCCGTGATGGTGATGGTGGTGTTCAGCGTGACGGGGACCTCGACCACAGACGTGGCGGTCGCCGTGACGGTCGTGTTCTGGACCTCGTGGGAGATGGAAGTCAGAGACGAGGTGCTGCCGCTGCTGCTGAGGGTCGCGGTGGCCGTGGCGGTGACATTCTTCCAGACGGTGATGAGCGAGGTGAAGACCTGGCCGCTGACCGTGGTGGTGTAGGTGCGGACGACTCTGGACGCGGAGGCAGTGATGACCTTGGTCTCGGTTCTGGTGGAGTTGGGGGGACCAGAGAACGAGGAGGTGCTAGACGACTGCTCCGGGTGGATGGTCACTGTAGCCATGCCTCCAATCGTGACAGTCTGGGTGGCGCGATCGGTGAGGTAGATCGTGGTGAGAATGGACTCGACAGACTGGGAAGAAGATGACTTGGAGGAAAGAGCACTGGAAGGGGAGGCAGTGACGGTGACGATGGAGGTCTGGGTGTGCGTCTGGATGTCGGCCGAGTGCGACGAAGAAGACGAGGCACTGATGGTCTTGAACACGTTGGAAGTAATCGTCTTGGTCAAGACGACGGCGTCCGTGGCGGTAGAGGCCTGGGCGCTTCCGGAAGAGGCAAGGGAAGTAAAGAGTGGAGTGCCGGCGTGGCCGAGCTGGGAAGAGACAGTTGTACCGTGTCCGATGGAGACGATGACGGTCTGGGTGGTCACCTGGGTGACGACAATAGTCGACTTGGAGGCGGGACCGAGCGTAGAGGAGGTCATCTCGCTAGAGGAAGAGCTGCTCATAATAGGGCTCGTAGTAGGGGGGTACAGGCTGTCAATCGTGACGGTGTAGGTGACCAAGATGGTGTCGGTAGCCGTGGAAGGGGAGACCGAGGCGGTAGAAGAAGACATCTTGGCGGAGGAAGCCTTGGAGGTCTTGTACTGAACGCTCGAAGAAGAGCTGGCAGCGCCATGAGTGAAGGTCTCGGTGACGGTGACGTAGACGGTGTGGTCTTCCACCTCGTGGGAGCACTGGGCCTGAGTAGTAGAGCTCAGGGGGGCTGCGGTGACGTAGATGGTGGACTTGATGATCGTCGTGGGAGTGACCGTGGTGGTTGAGGAGAACTCTTCAGTAGAGACCAAGGGACCGCCCTGGATCGTGGTCTTGCGCGTCTGGGTCAGGGTCTTGGTCGGGAAGACCGAGGTGACTTCAGGGTGAGAGCTCTCAGTAGGGAACGGGCCCACGGTGGTCACGACGATGGGAGGCGCGTCATCAATAGAAGACGTGGACTCGATGACAGACTCGGAGGACTCGGACGCGGCGTTGCTCTGGTGGGCAGTGGCCGTGTGGTACGCAGTCTCAGTGACAGAGGTGGTAAGAACCTTGGTGACGACTGGAATGGACCTGGAAAGGGAATGAGAATTTTGAACTTTGGAAGTAGAAAGGATGGAAGAAGAACTTACTGGGTGACAACAGAAGAGCCGGGAAGAGTAGTGTTGACAGGATCGGCAGATGAGACAGTGGTACCCATGGGAGACTTGTGGAGGGTCTGAGTGAGAGTCTTCTGGACGTGGGTCGTGATGGTGGTGTCAACAGAGGTGGTCTTGTTGTTTCCAAGGAACTGGGTAACGGTGATGGTCTCATCGGCATCATCTTCGCAGAGAGTGGGAGTGCCAGTGGTAGCCAAGCCAGAGAGAGTCGAGTTGATGCCGTGGGTCAGGGTGCCATTGAAACCGTGGACATTGGAGTTAATGCCGGCGAAACGAGGGACAATGTGGGAGTCAGAGGTGGGAACCTGAGAGTTGGGGGAGCCGCGAGTAGCAACTGATGAATTCCATTGTTAGCTGATTGTCAAAAGAAAAATGAGAAAATGCGGAAGAGGGAATTCTTACAGTGAATGCCGATGGCGATACCACCGCCCATAAGAGTGGCGATGAGGATGGCAAGACTGATGAGAATGAAGGGATCAGTCTTGCGGTAGGTGCTCCAGTCCTTCTGCTGGCGCTGGATGGCGCCCTCGGTCACAGTGAGGTCGTCATCCTCACGGTAATACCCGCGGTGATCGCGATAGTCGTTGTTAGGACGCTTAGCTGTTTTTTGTCAGTAAGATGATTTTATTGACACCAAATTGAAAGGATGAGAAACTTACGCATCATGATGGCTAGCGAGCGTCCGTCGAGCTTGTTCTTGGACAATGACTGTATCTGTGACTTTGTCAGACTATGAAATGGGAAGAGAAAGCGACTTTCAATAGAGAAAGGTCTGAAGTTTGAGGACGGCAAACCCGAATTTTGGGATATCGCCAAGCGCAAAGAGCAGAACTGCTTGAGTATGAACGAAATGAATGAAAACGAGATGGAACTTACTCTTTCTGGGAGAAAGGAGATGATGACAAGTGAGTGTTGTCTGCAAAAGGATATTTGCCGTCAGTCGGTGATGAAGAAAAGTGAGTGAAGTGAGTGGAAAAGAAAGGTTGAAGGGGTGAAGAGGTGGAAGTGGGAGTGGATGGCTCAGTGAGAGAAGGAACGCGAGAAGAGGAGGGTGGGAAAATCAGCGCGTCAACAAAGACAAATGGGGGGGACTGAGATTTTCACTGAAGGTGAAAAATTCAGGCAGGAGGAAGGAGCGAAGGGTCATTTGAATTTCCCGAGAAATCGATCTGTCAGAAAATCGAAGGAGAAGAACGTGGAGATGAGTGTTTTTGCGCTCAGAGTGCCCCTTGAGATCGCAAGATCGCAAAATTGAGGAAATTGGGATCGCTTGACCTGATCTTTCAATTTGGCCACTGAGCGAGGAAAGAGTGAGAGTGATTGGAGGCAGAAAATGAGATAGGATGTTTTCTCAATTGTCTCGTAGACGGTGGAGCTGATGATCGTGATGCTGGCGATCTCGACTTACGCTGAAGTATGGGATGGTCGAAGGAGTGTTGATCGGACGAACGAGAGATGCTGCGAAGCGTGCTGTAGCGCGTCAGAGGTGATGATTCTAGTGAAAAGAAGAGGAGAAGAAGAGGGAATAAATATTCGTGATGGAAAGGCCGACGTACCTTAGATTTGCCTGCGGGCGAACGAAAGTTGCTGCGCGATTCGCGTTGTTGTGACGTGGGTGGGTGGAAAAGGGAAGAGAAAAAGAAGAAGAGGATCTCAAAGTCGGGATGGATGGAAATCGATAGAGGCAGACGGGCGGACTAGCGTGATTCCCGAATAGGGTGGCAGGAAGCGGGTTCGTCGGTGAGAGAGTGAATACTCTCGGGATGTGTATTCAACTTACAGCCGGTCGAGGTGGTGGGATATTCAGTCAAGAAATCTGGTTGCCCCGCAGCTGGCCAGGTGGTTCAGTAAGCCTGAGGTTTTGCTGGCGAGGATTTTCAACACAATAATGATCAAATTTGACTGCGGTAGGAGTTTGATATGCAACGAATTGCTTGAAGTACTTCTTATATCAATAGCCGTCTGCTCTATCCTGGGGAATTGACTACCACAGTATGGATTGTCGCTATACGATGTTGCAAATTGGAAGGAAATAATGACATACTGAAAGATGAACCAGAAGTGTAAGGTAGAATACTGATGTGCCTAAGTGACGGAAGACTTGAAATACACATAAATATTCGGTCATTTGTCCCTTTCGATTTCCATGATCCGGGGCATATGTGTTCCAAAGGCTCCATCCAGCTGCCGAAGATCAACTAGAACCAAGAGAGAGCATGCATGTTCCTTTTTGAACGTATGATTGAAACATTTCTTGCAGCGGAACCTCACCGAATGGCATCGCTCGATGAAAAATACACATCGGCTGGCATCTAAGCTCCTCGTTCGCCGCCGAATTATGGGCAGGTATCGAAGTGTAATGAATGAATACAATGGCTGGTCATTGATATCGTCATGATAAGGTAGTCTCAACACCTGTCACGATCTGATAGCCTGTTTAAACTGGCTTTGGCCTAAGGGAGACGATGCTTGATCCTCGAGTCCTCTACCCCTTTTCAGGGAATAATCGACTGAGAAACATATTGTGCGATGGCTGTCACGATCTTGGGAATTTCATAGGGGCTGTGACGACAAAATATCAGAGGTAAGACAGAGTCTGGATTCACAAGGCCGATCTTGTTGAAGCTAGACGTCCTGCTCAATTTCCAGTATAGGATTCTGCTGGAGAGTAGGGGCCATTGACAAGACGGCACGTCGCTTGTGATCATTCTCATTACAGCCTCCAGAGGGGACACATTGCCGAGTCAGCTGGAAGTGTTTCTCCGGCAGGTAAGTTGAGTCGAATTAAGGACATCACTAAGCCAACCGCGACCCAATATACTGTAAGAAGACGGAGGCTGATGAAGTTCACCACCAGGCCAAGTGGAGACAGGTCGTTGAGCGCCGAACGGTGACATCCGTCACCAGCCACCCGAGGCATCGCAGCCACAGCTCCACTCCTGCTTGCGCCGGGGCCACGCAGCAGCCACGACCGGGCAGGGAAGGTAAGGTACAGCTGGAGCTTGAGCAGGTACCTCGTTCTACCTCCCTCAGCTCAGGTAAGCACGCGAAACCCCGATGAACTGCAGGCGCGGGCGCGTAACACGCATCGACTATTCCAATCCATCCAATTTCGTCGCAACACTGAGAGGACCAGCTTCATCCCCCTTCTCGTCGCCACCACCGCAATTGGTCTCTAATTGTGCGTGCTCACAACACCTGCCGCACATTTCCATCGTGCATGCGACGCGCGATATTCTATCCATGACTTAGGCCACGCGCGTATCATCGACTCCTAACACGTTCCAGTCGATCGACGACAGCATCGACACATTATCTTCCCCGCTTCACCACACGTCACCTGCCGAGCGCCCACCGAGCACCTTTCAAGATGGCGCGTCGTCGCGCTCGCGATGAACCTCAAGAGGAGGTCGAGGTTGAGGAGGAACAAGGAGAGGAGCTTGTCAGCCTTCAATTCGACGAAGAATTGACTTGGAAGCCCGGAAAACCTATCCCTACAACCGAGCTTCTCAACCGTCTGCAGGCTCTGGCAGAGGAACTCGGGGGTCTTGATCAGGATACTACAGAGGTCGAATCTCTCAATGACGTTGCTCATGCTTTGGGCCAACGCAACCTGCTAGCCCACAAGGATAAGGGCGTCAGAGCGTACACGGCTGTGTGTATCGCAGACATTCTGCGCCTGTGTGCGCCTGACGCGCCGTTCACCGCGGATCAGACCAAGGTAAGCCATTGATCTCGAGCTACCTAGGGCTCTCACTGATGAGTTCAACACAGATGTTCTTCAATCTGGTCGTTACGCACGTGTTCCCTTCATTGAGCGACCAAATCCACCCTTATCACAGCCAGCACAAATACGTGTTGACAGCTCTGACCGACGTCAAAAGTATCCTCCTAATCAATGATATCGACGGTGCCGACGATATGCTCCTGAAACTCTTCTCAGTCTTTTTCGATGGAGTATCTGGAAGCTCGAACTCGGGGCCCGAAGAAGGTGTCTCGAAGGAAGTCGGCAACACCATGACGGAAATGCTGATTGCCTTGGTTGACGAGGCATCGGGCATGAACCCAAAGGTCATTGAAGTAATCATGGCCCAATTCCTTAGAGCAGCGCCTCCTGGCGGCTTCCAGAGCCGCACAGAACGTAATGAGCAGAACGGCAACCAGTCGACCTTGCTGCCCAAGGACGAGCCACCTGCGTACATCATGGCGAAGGAGATCTGCAATGTGTGCACCGAGAAGATGGTACACTACGTAAGCCAGTATTTCAGCGATGTCATTCTCGACGCATCTCGATTCGCGGCGAAGACTGTTGGAAAATCGCACGAAGATGAAGAGGACGAGGATGCCCCTAGGGGCCCCACGGATTCAGAATTGAAGGAACTCAGAAAGGCCCACTATCTCATCCGAGAACTCTGGCGCGCATCGCCATCTGTTCTGCAAAATGTCATACCACAGGTCGAAGCAGAGTTGTCGGCCGATAACGTGGATCTTCGACAACTGGCCACAGAAACACTTGGAGATATGATCTCCGGACTCGGTGCTGCTGGGCCGCCCCCGCCACCCGCGTTGGATCCTGCTCAGTATCCTCCTTTGCGCTTAGCCGACGAGGCTCCCAGTCAGATCTCCGACAGCGTCCTCACCACACCTCTCTCGCCTCAATCTTTTGCGCAAACCCATTCTTCCGCATACAACCATTTCTTGGGCAGAAGAAATGACAAGACGGCGACTATTCGAGCAGCTTGGACGAACGCTGTCGGATACATCCTGGCCACCTCAGCAGGCGGGATTGGTCTCAGTCGCGAGGAACAGTCCGAGTTAGTGAAGCATCTAGGGGAGAAGCTCAACGATGGAGACGAAAAGGTCCGGTTGGCTGCCGTGAAAGTGATGGAGCTCTTCAGCTTCCGCGACTTCATCTCTAAGCTGGCTGCCCCAGGCGGCGTGGATAAGGACGGCTCTGTTCTTAGCAGTCTTGCCGACCGGTGTCGAGACAAGCGCACTGCTGTTCGAGTCGATGCAATGACGTTGCTCGCGAAACTCTGGGCCGTTGGATCAGGGGAGCTTGCTGCTGGGCAGGAGAGCGTCGTTGCCGCCCTATCTGGTATTCCTTCGCGCATTTTCAACGCCTTCTATGCCAACGACTCTGAGCTCAACATCCTTCTCGATCGTGTACTCTTCGAGTGCCTGGTACCTCTGTCCTATCCTCCCATTAAGGCACCAAAGAGTACCCGAGGGGCGTCTCAAAGCTCTCAGAACGCGGGTGTTGCTGACCAAGATCGCATTCGCGCGGAAAGAATTCTTCTCCTTACTCAATCTCTGGACCAAGCGGCTAAGAGAGCCTTCATGGCTATGCAAGGTCGACAACCTCAATTCGCGCAGGTCCTTGAAGCCTTCGTCAAGCAGTGCGAGAGCTACAACGGAGGTGTGATAGACGATAATCGCCCAAAGATTACGGCGAACCTGGAGAGGACAGTACAGTACATCACACAGTTCTTCCCAGACTCCTTCAAAGTGAAGACCGACCTCCAGAAGTTCGCCAATGCGAATGACCGACGCGCCTACCAGCTCGTTAAATTCTCCGTCAGTGCCGAGAGCGACTACAAGACGGTTCGACAAGCCATCAAGGAACTGGTCAAGCGCACCAATGCAAGCCAGAACGCGACTATCCTAGATACGCTCTTGCCGCTTCTCTACAGGTCGGCTTGCTTGCTGTTCAACCGAAGTCACCTTGCAACGATCCTCGATTACTCGAGGAACGATAAGGACGGCCTGGGCTCGGTATCCCACGAAATTCTCAACGAGATCTCACAGCGCAACCCTGAGCTTTTCAAGACTCACGTGGGAGGGCTGTGCAAGGGTCTCATCGAGCAAGCTCCCACAGAGACCAACGAGAACGATTCCAACGTTGTCGATACCTTGAAAGCTTGTGCTTCATACTCAAAGAAGTACCCAGAAGAGATTCCTCAAGACCGAAAATTCTCACAGGCTCTTGTTAGCTACGCTCTGTATGGACGGCCTGTGAAGTCTGCCAAGTATGCCATCAAGATTCTCCTGGCCAAGGGTGACGACAAAGGCCTAGTCAGTGCAACCAGCTTGTTGGAGAAGATTATGCAAGACTGGACCTACGGCTCAGCGCACTTCCTCAACAAGCTCCAGTCTGTCGCACAGCTGGAATTGCAAGTGCCCAAGATTACCCTCGATTCAGATGATGACATCCTCAACATGACTGTGCAGCAAATTTTGCTCAAGGTCCGAACAGACGCAACAGACAAAGACCCCGAGTGGGTGGATGACGCTAGCGTGGATGAGGAATTGCAAGCGAAGTGCCTGTCATTGCATATTCTCGTCAACCGACTGCGCAGTATGGACGATGTCGAAGAGGCTAAAGAGAAGGCCGTACCTGTCTTCAAGCTGCTCAAGACATTGGTCGCGAAGAGAGGAGAGCTCTGTAAGACGAAGGATACTCCCAACCACCACAAGTCACGACTTCGTCTGCTAGCAGCTCAGCTGTTGCTGAAGCTATGTACCATCAAGCATTTCGACGACTTCCTGACGCCGGCCGATTTTAACCGTCTCGCATTCACGGCGCAGGATACCGAACTAACTGTTCGCCGGGGTTTCATCGAGAAGCTCCAAAAGTATCTTGTGCAGAACAAGCTTCGGGCACGCTTCTACACCATCATCTTCTTGACAGCATTCGAGCCGAATAACGATCTGAAGCAGCGCGTTGAGACCTGGATCCGGTCCCGGGCTCGCGCATTGGGGGCGAATGAACAGCACCCTATGGAGGCGATTATGGGACGACTCATCTCTTTGCTGTCTCACCATCCCGACTTCAACAAGCCAGAGAATATCGATGATGCCAGTGCAGAGGAACTGAGCTCATACGCCAGCGACCTAGCGGACCATGGCCGCTACATTCTGTACTATCTTACAAATGTGGCAACGGAAGAGAACTTGGGACTCATCTACAAGTACGCTGAAAGGGTGAAGCAGACTCGTGATGCGATCAGCCCGGAGGCGAGCGAGAATCTTTACATTGTCAGCGATTTGGCCCAGGCCGTTGTAAGGAAATGGCAGGAGAGGAAGAATTGGAGTTTCCAAGCGTACCCGGGCAAGGTCGGGTTGCCGATCGGCCTCTACACTGCCTTGCCTTCACACCAGGTCGCCCAGGAGATTGCCGAGAAGCAGTACCTGCCGTCAGAGATTGATGAGAAATTGGACGGTCTGTTCAAATCAATCGATCGAAAGAAGGTAAGCCGACACTGTCTCCCATGTTGTCCGATCTCTAAGCTTACAAAATTACAGAAGAGAAAGTCTACAGATGATCGTGGAGACCACCATCCAGCCAAGAAGGCAAGGTCAGCCCCGAGGGTCAGGGAGCCTAAGGCACCAAAGGAACCTAAGCCGAAGAAGCAGAAGGTCAAGAAGCCCGCCAAGGTCAAGGCCCCGCGCCGCGAATCTGACATTCCCCTGGAAAATCGGAGACGCAGCGGCCGTGCTGCTACCACTGCTGTATCCAAGTACACCGAACGCGACTCATCCGACGACGACCGTGAGATGTGGGACGGCGTCAGCAAGTGGACGTACGAGAATGAAGATGGAGAACAGACGGAGGTGTCAGATGACGATGATGACTCTTCGGTTCTCTCGGAAGCCCCAGAGGAAGAAAATGGCGAGGGGGCTAAGAAGCCAACAGCTGCTGCGGATGACAGCGGCGATGATTCGCCGTTGTCCGAGGTTGAGGACGTTGCGACAGAGGAACCAGAGAAGGAGGAAGTGGAAGCAGACGACGAGGAAGAGCCGGAAGAAGCTACGCCACCGCCCAAATCCAACGGGCGAAAGGGCAGGTCGGCAGCGGCATCAAAAGCGGCAGCCAAGACTAAACTACCAGCCCGACCTGCAGCCAAAGAGAAGCCCGCTCCGAGAGCGACGAGGACGTCGACGCGGAGCACCCGTGGGAGGGCCGCCCAGGAGTCGATGGACGTTGATGAGAGTGACTGATCGAGGGCGGGAGTGTACAAAAAGTTTCATCTTCATTGTTGCGGTGCTTTTCAATTGGTTTTAGGCATGGCTATATGTTGGCTTATGGAGGATGGATATCCCCTGCGGTGGTTGGGTGTTTTGAGTGCGCCGCCTGCGAATGCAGCTGAATCCATCATTTGCAGCTGCAATGTACTCTCGTTTCCATGCTTTCTGTCGAAACTGTCAATATACCCATGCTGCTGAAATAATTCAATCCATGAGTTATCATGTGCAGGAGGCATTATTGTGCTTCCAACTGGTTCGAACTTGTCACGAGCTTTTCCGTGGTAATATTTGAAGAGTAGCTTCCATTGCATGTGGCCGTACACAGTATCCGTGGTCTCTATGTTACACTCCGTAGTCTCTCTGACCCTGCGGGGTATGGGGAATAGCAAGCTACACAAAGGAGCTCTACCATTAATTTGTGTGCAAGGAGTCCATGAGCTCTGTTGAAGCTTCTTCTGAAACTATTTACACCCACAGGTGAGGTGGATGGGCAAACGCAGTGCTCAGCACAGCCAGGGCGGTCAGCTTGCAACGACATGACTTATGTTATTATATTTCTCTTTTCTGTTCTTGCCCTCTCTCCAATCTTCCTTTCCATCCACGGATGGACGGGACCCCGATTGAAGCGGACCGGGATGTCATGTCAAAACTTGACCAGGAACGTAAGGAGTCTTTCCAGAGGCTACCTGCCTCAGTGACTACAGATAGTAATGAACTACCCGAGGCAAGTGAGGTCGAGCTAATGAAGCTGGGAAGGTTCAGGAAGCTACCACTAATTTGCACCTGCCTCCCTTGACTTTGGTAGAACGGGAAGGCATCTCAGGTTCTCCCCAGGGTTTCATAAAGCTTAACACTGCCCAGTCAACCCGAGTGCAAAGAACCTAGAGCTCCCATCTTCAACTAGGAAACTTACGCCGCCTGACTTGCGGACCTGACCTCTTGTTCTACCACTGTTGGGCCACTCATTCACAGCCCATTGTCTTGCTTGCAGTGCAGAATGACCTGGCCGGATATCGACTATCTTGAGCTGCCCAACGGGCGAACCATTACCGTTTGCGCATCTCATCACATGGTCACCTGCGGAAAATGTTGTCTTGACTTCAGCCATGACTTCGAGTACGACGAAGACGGAAACTACTTGGACGAGGATGAAGAGGACGACGAAGAAATCTTTGGCTTTGACTACGACTCTCGCCTTCCCAGGGATGTCAGCTTCGCTCATGTTGCGAATGGCCGATATGGCCGTCCCGAGAGAATCACTGCGAGCGGATCTCGGTATTCTCAGCGCGTGTCCAGTCTACTTGGGATGATGAAGATGACGACGACAGCGATGGTCCGCCGCCCCTCATCGACGACGATGAACTGATCTCCACCGTTCGTATGGGGGAAGGCCAAAAGATTATTCCCGGGGCACCTACTCTCAACCCATCTGTCTCTTGCCGCAGTGAATTCTCCGGCAAATTGTTTCCCTTCAAATTCAACCCGCACCACGACTCGCAGACCAGTACGCCTTTGGAGCCTAAAGAACTTTTCCTTCCGAAAAAGTCCTTGATATCTATTACATCTGTTATCCGCTTCATCAATCGCTACGACGACTCGGAAGTTCTCATTTACACCGACGGGGCCTGTCTTGACAACGGCAACGCTGCAGCCCGCAGTGGCTCCGCCTTCATCTTCAAGCCGGTACTCCCCAATGACGAGAACGGGTGTGTGGCCTTCAAGCTCGAGGAAAAGGGGCCAGACGGTCAGACATACCGCCACACCAGCAACCGCGCCGAGCTGCGCGCCGCCCTCGCCGCGCTCCAATTCAGGGCCTGGTGGGGTGAGGGTGTCAAAAGTATCGTCATTGCCACCGACTCAAGCTACGTCGTGAACGGTGCCACCGACTGGGCTCGCGCGTGGATCAAGAAGGGCTGGCGAACAAGCGCCGGCGAACACGTGAAGAATAGGGACCTATGGGAGGCCCTGTTGCTTAGGAGTGAGATACTCCACGATAACAATGTTCACGTCCGCTTCTGGTACATTCCTCGCAAGTTCAATAACGAGGCTGACAGGGCTGCCAAACGCGCGGCTGCAATTGTTGAGCCGACTGTTGAGTTTAGCAAAATATTGGGGGTTCTCGTTTAAATCTACGGTATACGCTGTTTCTCGGCTCCTTGATTGGGGGCACCATCGACGACTTGACGATTCCCCGCCCATCAGACCTCTAGCAACGAAAGACATTCTTTGCTATTTTCAACGCTATGAATAACCAGGCGTAGGACAAGGCTTGGCAACGCGGTATTCAAGCACTCTTCGCCTTCACTATCATTATGAGACAGTATAATTTGGGGCTTCCCCGATACGACACTCTGAGCGTTGAGTGCGAGGGAGGATGTGAGGGACTTATCGTGTAGCTATATGGTAGGGAGCCCTCTGTGCGAATGGGATCACATATATGGTAAGGCTTTTCTAACGATCAGGCCTAGACTGGGGCTTGGCAAGCCATTGTTATCAAGCACTTATTCTTAAAAACGTCAAAGTTCACTGATGCATATCAAGACTTGTGTCATGTTCTGGAAAAGGATGATTTTGTATTGACAGGCTCCTAATCCATGCGCAGAGCTTCCTATGAAATACCCGTGATAGGTGTATTCCCAACCTTGAGTGAACCGTTATGCGAATAAGCACTTAAGCCATCGACACAACCAACTCTGGCGGTACTCTACCTAGCACAGGCCCCTCGCAAGAAACACCAACACGACGAGAAGAGGGCGCACTTAGTAGAGGCGCTTGGGGGGAGACATGGAAGCCTTGATGGTCAAGCTTCCAACGTTCTGCCAGCCCTTCTTCAGCAGGGAGACGAGGTAGTTGATGGCCAACATGATGTTGGCAATCAGCTGCTCCTGGGTCATGCCGACGTTGCCGACGGCGACACCCATGCAGAGAACCTTCTTCAGCTGGAACTTGATGGTGGACTTGACCTCGGTGATCTTGCCAGAGAGATCGTCGGCGTGGGAGACGGGGGTGGGGAACTTGCCGGCTGCGAAATTGTTAGATACGGGTTCAAGTCTGAAATAGCAAAAGGGGAAGTGAAGGAACATACCCTTAGACAGACCGGGACCCAAGAGACGGGGGATCTGCTTGATCAAGGTCTCGGAAGCGACGAAGGCGTCGTACTTGCGGGCGAGCTTCTTGATGAGCTTCTTGTTCTTGTTGAGCTTCTTCAAGTCGTCGGCGGACATGGCGTCAACACCACCGTGCTTGGCACGATCGATATCGTGCTGGTCACCGAGAATGCAGATGCTCATGTTGGGGCGGGGGACGACCGGGAGGCGGACGGTGCCGGAGAAACGCTTGTCACGCTGGGGGTCATAGTTCTTGAGGCCGATCTGAAGCTCGACAGACTCCTGTGAGGGGTATTAGCATTTGCTGATTGCTCCGCTTCGGTCGCGGACTTTGCGCTCAATTGAGCGACAGAGGTGGGTAGACTGACGAGGAAGTTGCGCTTCTTGGTCTCGAGAGAGTACTCGAGCAGCTCAGAGACCTGAGTGCGGACGTTGGCAACCGTAATTTTCGACATCTTGGCGATATCTCCCAGTAATCTGGTGCTTACGGTAGATGTTGGATGATGATGGGGTTGAAGGGGAAAGAGAAGCAGTCGGGGACAAATTTCGGCGGGGCGCCTTATTCTTTTTCAATTAGGGCAGGGAAAAAGTTTGGCCACACTACCGTGTGTGGGTGGAGTGGACCGTGCGCGCGACGTTCCAGAAGATGCAGGCGATTGGCTGAATGTCACTGGGAGACGGGAGCGCAAAAATAAAAAAAAGTCAGTCGGGACCATGGCGTTTTGGTGCCCCGCGATGAGTCTTCGCCGGCGCGTCGAGTTAATGCTACGAACCACGTGCTGAAAACTCGTGGTACCTAGAATTTTCCCGTGTCCGATACGAAGCACCTCGAACGACGAGGCCTTCCCAAATCGGAGATTCTTATGTAAGATCTGAAGCAAATCAGAAATTTGAGTGCACTCATTTCCGATACTTACACGCCGAGTTGTAGACGACAGACGAAAAGAAAAAACACACCCCTGTTACTCACTCGGCCAGCACTCATTCGCTTCGCCGCTGCCCCTCGGTGCCCCTCCTTCTACCCAACTCTCAGAGTCACTCGCCGGGTTCACCAATAATGCGATAGCGATGAAGCAGGATACCGTCCCCCAGTACGAGAGCTTCGTCAACCCGAGTGACCTGCTCAAATGGGTTGAGGAACAGCCCGAGGAATCGTGGATCTCGTAAGACATTTCCCCCAGTCAATACCCCTCCAAAGTGAATGGTCCAAGCGTAGTATGTGTGTTAACATCATTTTTGCAAATAGCATCGCGCAAAATGTTTTTGACCACCTCCTCTCCCTGGCCGCTCAGCCAAAGGGAGTCTCGGGCAACTCATGCGTGAAGCTCTGCGGATTTGTCGAGCAAAGCTCAAAGTCCGAGAAGTCAGCCCTGCGGCAATGGGCTTTTTCCAAAGAGCCCAGCCTGGGTCTCTTCAACTTCTTCATCAAGTGGAATGAGACAGAGCAGCACCGGTCCATGAAGCTGGTCCTGGACCTGCTCCCCTCGCTCATCCGCCGTAACCCCGACCATGCTGTCTCTGACCTGGTCAAGACGACCATCTTGGACACCCTCATCTCCATCATTGGACCGCAGTCCACCAAGCCTTTGGTTAAGTCGTCGCTCAAGGCCATGGACTACTTTGCCGGCAAGTCCGTTTTTAGCGTCGAAGACATTGCGGCGAGTTATAAGCGGACGCAGCCAGAGTGCAGCTGGGCGTCCGACATTGCATTGTGGGAGGACTTTTTCGGCCAGATGCTCGACTGGATGACCATGCACTACGTGTGCCCGACTACGGGCAAGTTCATCGTGACCATTTTCAGGGCACTGAGACAGCAGTCTCTAAAGACGCCGCAAGCTGCAGGCGCTGAACAGTTCAGCGTTGAAATGTGGCTCCGCTGGGTCCAGGCTGCCATTGCCAAGACGCCGTCTTTGCTTGAGGGTATCAAGACGTATGTTTTCCTTCCGTTATTCAAGGATGACCGCAAAGACTCGGTCCAGATCCTGGAACAGATCAACAGCATGTGGTCTACCTCTGGCTCGGCCGTGGCTGAGCTCGACACTCTGGCCCAACTGAACCTCGCCGTGCTGGAGGTTGGTAAGAAGGTAGGCATGGTCGAGGAGCCCGGCGCCATCTACAGAGAGGAGTCCTCTTCAGCAGTAGTCTTGGAAGAGGCCGTGCTCGAAAGGGTTCTGTCACATCCTTCCCATGAGCTCCGCTCGCTGGCGCTTTCCCTCATCGTCGCCTCACCTTCAACGACGAGGCCTTACTCACCAGTGGCCCTCCGCCTGCTGCAAGCCCATCTCCCGACGTACTTCTCGGAGTCGGACGCAAAGTTCCGCATGGAACTGCTGAGCAAGCTCAAAGACATGTTCAAGCGCAGCAGAGGCGCAATCTTCATCCTGCATAAGAGTCTGGCCCGTCTCAAGGCCTTTGACGGCGCTGCCAATGGTGCGCCAAAGGCCCCTAAGGCGCCGCCGAAGCAAGCGAACCACCGCACCAACATCTTGCTCTGGCCAGAGGATAAGCTGCGAGCGAGCTTGGAGCTGCACGAAAGCTTTTTGGCGTGGTACATTGCATTTTTGCGTTCTGAGCTGATCCCCACAGCCTCTTTCCAGCGGCACTTTACCGCGCTAAGGGCCGTTGCCTTCATCCTCAAGCTCGAAGCCGACGCTGGCAAGACGTGGGAGACGGAGGAGGACGAGACCCTCTTCTTCAACCTATTTGACGGGAAGTGGACGCGCGCGCTCCTCGACCTCATTATGGACCCATTCGACGACGTTCGGGAGAACGGTACGTCTGTCCTCAAGAACTTGTTTGGCGACAAGCGCTTCAAGTGTCTCGTTGGCGCACAAGGTGTCTCACCGACACTGGAAGAGTTCTTGTTGAGAGCCGAGGATATTGCGCGGAGGACGGCGCGAGCTGATCACGCTGATGGCGTTGCTCGGACAAACGAGCTTCTCTTTAGATTCTATGACGGCAGGGAGGCGCAGATTGCGCATATTTCAAAGTTGATGGATCTTCTTGAGGGCAAGCTCGCCTTTGCAGAGGCCGATCTGGGTAATGCCGTTCTTGAGGCGCCGGTGCATGGCTACTACGCTTCTCTCCGGTGGGTGCAACAAATACTATGCCTCCTTCGAAAGGTGCCGTGGACTGACCGAGGATTAGGTATATCTGGCAAGCTGCGGCTGATATGAGCTTTTCGGCGTCCGAGATGGAAGCAATGGCTATCCTTCAGAACCGCATTGTCAAGTGCTGTCAACGCATCTGGGCTGCGGTCAGAGACATTCTGTGCGACGACTCACCCGAGGGCCACTTGCCCCAGGAGCTGGAAGATCTCGAAGGTCTTGACACCAAGGACCTGCTGAGCTACAGCTTCCGCGCCATCCACGAGTCCAGGTAAGTAATAAGAGTCTACATAATGCTGTGTAGATATCTCGTCTAACATATTACTCAGTGCTCTGATGCGTGTCATGGTCCTGCCTCTCAAGTCCAAGGCCAAGGAAGGAATTCTGCGCCCCTCGACTGACCTCTTCACAACTGTCGGATCCTTGACCTTTGACCAGCTGTCGAGCCTCAGACACCGCGGTGCCTTCAACACTGTCTCGCTGTCGTTCGCAACCTGCTGCCAGCTGGTCAAGCACCTCGATGACCCTCAAGCAGGCCACGAGAACGGCGAGACCCTGCTCGACGTCTGGTACAGGGGAACTAAGGAGTGCATCTTTTCCCAAGCATCCACTACCCGCCGCTCTGCCGGTATCCCCGCCATGATCACCGGAATCGTCTCGGCCAACGCGCCGCAGCCCTCCTTCGACGTCGTCATCGAGGAGCTCGTCGCCATTGCCCGCAAACCCGCCTACAACTCCGAGTCGGACGGCTCCAAGCTGCCCCAGGTCCACGCCCTCAACTGTCTCAAGGACATGTTCAAGAGCTCCTTCATCACCCAGCTCGGCAAGTCGGCACCGCACATCCCGCAGTGCCTCGACCTCGCCGCCGGCAGCCTCAAGTCCGAGGTCTGGGGTATCCGCAACTGCGGCCTCCTCTTCCTCCGCTCTCTCCTCGACAACCTCTTTGGCACAAACGAGAGCAAAGCCACCCTCGAGGCCGGCTGGGATGGCCGCACAACGCGCCTGCAGTACCACAAGTTCCCCATCCTGCCCTCCGTGCTATTGAACCTCCTCCGCTCCGGCCGCGAGGTCATGAAACCCACAACGCTGGGAAGCACCATCGCCGCCGAGTCCGTCTTCCCTGCCCTCGACATCATCCGCCGCGCCGGACCCCCCGACGCCTCGCGCGACGAGCTGTACGGTCTCGTCGCGGGCTACCTCGCCAGCCCCGTCTGGCACGTCCGGGAGATGGCCGCTCGCGCTCTGTGTTCTTTCCTCCTTAAAGACGACGATTGGGTCAGCCTTGCCGAAGCCATTATCAAGGACTCCCTCGCCGCGGCGCCCGCGAGCAGGAACAACCACCTCCACGGCGGCCTGCTGACCGTCAAGGCGGTCTTTGAGCGGCTCTCCGACGTCTCGCCTCAGAGACTGTCGTCTGGCCTCCCGCGCGTAGTCTCGATTCTCGGCGGTTTCGAAGCCAGCGCGTCTGACTCCTTTGCCTCCTGCCCAGACATCCGCGCCGCTTACCTGGAAGTCCAAAACCTCATCTCCCTCTTCGCCCTATCTTACCCGTCATCATCATCACCGTCATCACAGGGCGCTGCCTCCACCACCATCTCACAATCCCCACAAAGCGCCCTCCTCCGCACCCAACTCGCCATCGCAGCAGTTCACGCCGCCCAAACCTCCTCCTCGCCCTCCGCCTCCCTCCGCGAAACCCTCCTCTCGACAAGAACAACAAGCGTAGAGACAACAATCACAACCCTCGAAACCCTCGCCTCAGTCCACCACCCGCACCTGTCCCCCGCGGAAGCAGCATCCTACGCCGCGCTGTACACCGACGTAGCCCGCTCCGCAACACACCCAGACTCCTGCGCCGCCGCCCTCGTCAACCTCGCAGAGGTCCTGGACCTCGTCCTGGCAGCAGCAACGGCCTCCCGCGATGCCGATGCCGATGCCAACTCTCGACAACCCTCGAACCTCCTCCCCTCCCCCGAGACCCTGACACAGCTTTGGCAAGACCTCCTGGCGAGAACAATCAACCCAAATCTCTCCAACGCAATCGCCCGCGCCAGCGGCCCCATCATAGCATCCCTCGTCTCTCAATCTCTCGCTACCTCATCCACCGCGCGCTCCCTCCGCGGCTGGGGCAACCTAATGTCCTCGGCCCTCCACGACTCCCGCCCCTTTGACACCCGCATCGCCGCAGCAGCCTCCCTCGCCTCCTTCTTCTCCGCAACAACCTCAACCTCTTCAACCACCGCAGACCAACACCAAGCAGAAGCAGAGGCAGAAGCACCCCTCCTCCCCGCCCTCATAGCCCTCTACGACGCCCTCAACGACGACGACGACGAAGTCCGCGACCTCGC